CTCTCACCCTGATTTTGTTTTTGTGGATTATTTACTCAAGGCTTTAAAGTGGGCGTTATTGCTGATCTGTCCAAAATTGTCGTTGCGCAAAATCTTCAGTCTGCCATGCAAGACCCTGAAACAGTTTCCTCTCTTCTTAATAGGGAAGTTAATAAAGGTTATTTGATCGGCCCCTTCTTTTCTCCCCCTTTTTTTACTTTTCGCACAAGCCCTATCGGTGTAGCCACTCGGAAATACTCAGGAAAAAAACGCTTGATTTTTTACATGTCTAGCCCTCGCTCCGGTTCATGCGCAAGTGTTAACAGCCTCATTCCTCTTCTCCCCTTTTCGCTCTATTATGCTTCGGTTGACGACGCAATAAACTTGATTATGTTAGTGGGTAAAGGCTCTTCGCTCGCTAAAGCCGATATTTCGGATGCTTTTAAAATAATTCCAATCCATCCTTCCCAATGGCCCTTGTTTGGTGTTAAATGGCAATCTCGGTTCTATTTTGCGGTCCGGCTAGTTTTCGGTTGTCGGAGCAGCCCGTCTATATTTAATTGTCTGGCTTCTGCCTTATCCTGGATATTGCTGAATAAAGCACAGATCACTTTTGATCAGTAACATAGTGGCTCCATACCGCTGGCAAAGCGCTAAAGCATATCCATAATGCTTCGTCGTACCAACAACGACCTCCCCTATAAACGCTTGGCGTCTCCATAACGCCTTTTTGCTACACCAGCATCCCCATACGGTTCTCCATGAAGTCAACGGCTCTGTACTTCTCTCAGGTCGCATAACATATTTCAATAGCCCTTCAACGGTTGTTAAAGGTTAAGATCAATTTCTACATTCAATTAGTCCACGTCACTGCTTAAACATTTCTTTCTGTTTCTTCCCGACAGGTCTAGTGCATCGCCTGATAGCCCAAGTGGTACAGTTGACCTACTTCTCACCTTCTTCACTATATTAACTTTGGGGGTAGGCTCCTTCGCCTCCTGCCTGGTCGCCCAGCCAGATCTGTCGGCTTCAGAGTTGGTAGAACCAACGACCAGGAGACAGGCTTCGCCAAATCACTCTTCTCAGACTCATTTAAAATGTTTAACCAAATAAACAGTCATGTCAACTACCTAAGGTCCAATATAGGTCCAATATAGAACTTGGACCGCTGTGATTGGACATGACGACGTTCATAAGGTCTCCTTGGTTGAAATGAAAGTAAATACGAAAGTTCAAACAAGGAGACCTTATGAACGTCGTCATGTCCAATCACAGCGGTCCAAGTTCTATATAAAGAATAAGTCTAACCCACTTCTTTGCCGTTACAGCTATTTGGTTCGCCCACCTCCTCCCCTCCACCGCCTTCGGCTCCCCGTCCTGGTCCGAGGGGGTAGGCTCCTTCGCCTCCTGCCTAGTCGCCCAACCAGATCTGTTGGCTTCAGAGTTGGTAGAACCAACGACCAGGAGACGGGCTTTGCCAAATCACTCTTCTCAGACTCATTTAAAATGTTTAACCAAATAAACAGTCATGTCAACTACCTAAGGTCTCCTTGGTTGAACTGATTTACTTGAACATTATGCAGCATCCAGAAAGGGTTACCTCAGTGTTCCCAGAATGAAGACCAAGCAACGTAAAGCAGCGTTCAGTTTCTATTCTCCCTTTCTGTGGAAAAAGCTTCCTAAAGAGCTGAGGTCTGCTAAAACTGTCAGCTCATTTAAATCAGTGCTTAAAACATTACTGTTCGCAGTAGCTTTTCAATAAATTAAGTCAGTTAAGCCATATACTGTCACTTCAATATAACTTCTTTTCAGTTAACTGTTTGTTTGGCATTTAGGGGTTTTAAATATAATCTTACTAGTATTAATATGTTTCCAGTCATCCATCCATTCTTTGTGACCACTTAGCCTGTTCATGATCACGGGGGGTCCAGAGACTATGGGTGCAAGACAGGGAACAATGCAGGATGGGGAAGGGAAACTGGAGCAGAGGAAACCCCACAACAATACAGAGAAAACATGCAAACTCCACACACATGAAGCCATGGCAGAGACTTGAATGCTGGTCCCAGAGGTACGAAGCAACAGTGCTAACCACTGTGCCACCCTGATTATTATGTTTATTTATTTATATACACTGCCCAGGCAAAAAAAAAGTCACCACTTGAATTTTTTGGCGCACATTTGTCATGGCATTGTTTCCACAGCCTTATGCAACATCTCACCTTTTATTTTCATCCAGATTTGAATTCATTTCTCATCGAGATCCTGTACTGACAAGTGAGCTAAACCACTCCATAAAGCCTCCTTTATCACATCCCAAAGACCTACAATAAGGTTAAGGTCACAACGGTGACCAAGTCATAAGTGAAAATGATTCCTCATGCTCCCTGAACCACTCTTTGACAATTCCAACCCAATGAATCTTGGCATTCTTGTCCTGGAATATGCCCATGCCAACAGGGAAGAAAAAAATCCATTGATGATGGACGGAGGTGTAACCTGGCCAGTAGATTCAGATACTCAGCTGACTTTACTTTATTGCTGCATAACGTTGCTGAGCCTTAATAATGATCCAGTCATTGGCTCTTAAGTATTTGCTGATATAAATTCAAATGGCGACATTCTTTTTTTTGGCCAGGGAGTATATTTTTGTCTTTTAAATATGATTTTAATGTCTTTTGTTTAAATGTGCTCTTCAGCCTTTGTAAAGCACTTTGAATTTGTGTCTGAATTGTGCTGTATAAAAAACGTGCCTTGCCTTGCCTAGCTCACAGTCAGTCACGATGACTGCTAAAAGAGGGTAAGCTTGTGTCATATAGCTCTGAGAATTCAACCACGAACAATTTAAGTTTTTCCCCCATTTTGATTTTTTCTCGAACTCATTAGAACTTGAATTTCTTAAAAGTCGAACTAACCAGTTCTAAAAAAAATTACCTAAAACTCGATCTGAATCTCAGAAATCAAATCGTGAACGCCGACCTAAGATAACTTGTATGCGTGGGGAAATGAGTCACGCGGCACGTCTCTCAGCGGAAACAAAGGCTAACGCTTCAGTCTCAGCCTCGCATTCGCTGTGATAGCATCGTGCATGTTTACACTAGCTGAATACATATATTTAGACAGTAAAAATACATTTAGACAATGAGAGACAGTAACAGTAATTATTATTATATAATAAAATACATTTAAAAATAAAGATTTCTTATTTATTTTAATATTAATAATAAACCATTAATACATTTAATTATAATAATATCGTCGTGCCCAGCGGGGACGGAACGGAGACAAAGGCGCAGATATCAGGGTATCGGGGAATACGGGGTTTAATTACAGGTAAGGCAGGTAAAACACAGACGGACAATACAATGACCAGATTGGGGACAAACTGAAACGCGGACTAAATACAGAGGACTAATGACAACAACCAGAAACAGCTGATGTGCTCAGGGGTTCCACACGGGGTTAACAAGGGGGCGTGGCACACGGAAGGAGCGGACGATCGGGGTATGACACATTGTTTTTTTTTTATTTTACACATTGTTTGGATACATTTATTTTCTTACTTCAAAAATTACTGTTTTGATAAATGTGCTTAGATGTGTTTAGTACAGTATATGCTTTTCTTGTTTTGTCCGGTTCATTTTGTGTTTAAATGCTAAAAAAAAAACATATTTTGCTGTAATTTTTTGGGGCCGGGAACCAAATAATTGGTTTTCCATTATTTCTTATGGGGAAAATTTGATCAGAACTCAAACTTTTTAAGATTTGGTCCGGAGTTCTGAACAGATTCATTTCGAGTTCTGAGGTACCACTGTACCTCTAAAGAGAAGATATGGATGTCGGCACAGCTGGAAGATGGGTGTGTGTCTGCAGATTGGAGCTATCTCAGCTGTTTCAGGAAATTTGGAAGGAAACAGACACTATAGCCTCAATGATGAATGTTCAGTTGGAGGTGAAAAGGAGTAGAAAGGTATTAAGGAAACAAGATGACAATTGGAAGACTCAGACCAAGGTTACTCCCAATGATGAACTAAGAGTTAACTTTTTAGTAATTAACTTCAGCATACAGGGCATTACAGACATGTTCAGTCATGACACTTTGCAGCTTCTGAGGTGAACAGACTGCCTCACAAACCCCAGAATGGAGAAAATCCCCCAACCCCTTCAGATGTGTGGGTATTACAGGAGGGTGTGTCCACCACCCAAGCAAGGACAGAGTACAAGCTGTTCACACATAAATAGCAATGGGAACAAATTGCTCCACTTTCCATATTGTTGCCTTTATACATTTCTTGTGAAAAATAACCTTCTGCAAGCCGACCCTCACTTAGGCTCAATATACCAGCCTATTATCACTCTGCCACTCACCTCTTGTAGCAATAACAGGTCTGTTTCAGCACGAAAATTTGTCAAGAACGAACAAAGGATTTTCGTTCAGAGAATGGGATATTTTTTTCTTTTTTGGCCAAATCTCTGTAAACACTAGAGATGTTGAGCATGAAAATCCCAGCAGATCAGCAATTTCTGAAATACTCATACCAGCACATCTGGCACCAACAAACATGCCACATTCAAAGTCACATAAATCACCTTTCTTCCCCATTCTGGTGTTTGATGTGAACATTAACTGAAGCTCCAGACCTGAATCAGCATGATTTTATACAATGTGCTGCTGATATATGATTAGCTGATTAGATATTTTCTTCAGCAAGCAGTTGAACAGGTGTACCTAATAAAGTGCTAGTGAGTGTATGTTGCATATGAAGCTGCACCCCCACAAAAAATTAAAAATGATGCATGACGCCCCTGCATGGAGGAGCACACGTCAGTTTATAAACAGACTTACTTATGGATGAAACCATGATCATCAGAAAGGCAGCTCCAGTTACTCCTGCTACACATTCATGTATTTTCTTTCTTTTTTCTCTCTCTTCAGAATATTTTATTGAAACCACAACACCAATGACTGAAAGAAGGTGAAAACAGAGTTAGCAAGCATAAAATTCATGTCAGACAGAGAATATAAAACAAATTTGTGTTCAGTGTCCTGTGTTTAAGACTCTGCACTGCACAGTCCTGTCACCTGTGGGCTCTGAGAATAAATTCCATGTTGAACAAGGTGGAAAAAAAACAAACAAAAAAAAAAACTGTCGCAGATATAAATAGGGTGTTAAAAGAAATTTCATGTCAGACAGAATATAAAACAAATTTGTGTCCAGTGTCCTGTGTTTGAGGCTCTGCTTTGCACAGCCCTGTCAGCTGGGGGATAAGTGATGAAATCCCATGTCGGATACTTTGGTTTAAAAGCTCAAATTGTGTATTAAAAGGTAGCAAAGGATGCGTAGAGAGGAGGAGGGCTTTAGTGCACAGGCTTAGCCAGGGGCCTCAGCCTCCCACCCCAAGAAATACAACATTGATATAATAGTGGTAAATGCACCTCTGCATGGGGAAATTTATATCACACATCCTGGACAGGGTAAGAGGGGGCTTGGATCCTATTCCAAGTAGCACATAGCACGAGGCAGAGGTATACCTTGGATGGGATGTCATATACACAGTCACATGCTATAGGCAATTTACAGACAGCAATTAACCTAAAAGTAAGACATTAGGCTGCTAGAAGGAAACTGAAGTAGCTGGTGGAAAACTCATATGACATGGGGAGCACATGCAGACTGTACACAGACACAGAGGAGGGGGACTCAAACCCATATGACATGAGGAGCACAAGCAGACTGTACACAGGCACAGAGGAGGGGGACTCAAACCCATATGACATGAGGAGCACATGCAAACTGCACACAGACAGAGGAGGGGGGACTCAATCCCACATCACACGGGGAGCACATGCAGACTGTATACAGACAAAGAGGAGGGGGGACTCAAACCCACATGTCATGGGGAGCACATGCAACCTGCATATACTGTAGGCACAGAGGAGGGGGACTCAAACCCACATGACATGGGGAGCACATGCAACCTGCATATAGGCACAGAGGAGGGAGACTCAAACCCACATGACATGGGGAGCACATGCAACCTGCATATAGGCACAGAGGAGGGGGACTCAAACCCACATGACATGGGGAGCACATGCAGACTGTATACAGACACAGAGGAGGGGGGACTCAAACCCACATGTCATGGGGAGCACATGCAGACTGTATACAGACACAGAAGAGGGGGGACTCAAACTTTTGTGTTTAAATACAAAGCTACCTCTATGGCTAATGCTAGTCCAAAATTCCTGAAATCCATTTATAAACATACTTACTTCGGAATATAAGAAAAAAGATAAAAATAAATATGATTCCACCAAAAATTCCTCCAAATGTTGCTTTCTCAGCTGGAGCTGGGGAATATCTTGTTAAAAACTCAAAGGCAGAACCTGAAATGAGGTAATAATAGTCAGTCAACAAGTTAATGTTAGACACAAGAAAAAACAAATGCATTCAGTGGTTCATTTGTGTATCAGATGCTTTTGTCTAAAGTAACGTATAAGTAAGGATCAGAGAGCAGGATCAGCCTGCGGTTAAGTTCTAACCCATAGAGCCACACAGGTTAGGAAGCAGATTAATAAGGGTCATGAAAAGTCAGTGAGGGTGTTTGGCTGGGAGACATTATTCAGCCTAAATCATGCTTCCAAACAGCTATAAAGCCAAACTGCCCCCAGCCTAAACAAAGAGTTTACTCCCTTAATCCATCAGCCTCCCTCTGGTCCAGGTGCTGACAGGAATCTCCAGGCCTTCAGAGTTGTGGTGCAGCTACTTCATGCTGCTCTTCCTCTGCTTATTATTATTTTAAACAGTCCTGGACGATGTGCCATGTTAATACCCACGTTGCATGTTATGCACATGCAAGTGTCACATAGCAAGGAGTGCAACAGTCAGCTGGGTTGAGACCATCAATAAGATATGCTAAAAAATCTTTACTCTGTTAGAGGAAACAACATTCAGAAAGCTTTGCTGATTGTTCTAATCAGCCCCACAACCTGTAGGGCTGGGGTAGGAAACCTGATCCATTGAGGGCCGGTGTGGGTGTCGGTTTTTGGGAGAATTTTTTAATTCTTTAATAGAATTTTAGGATATCCATCCACACCATACATGTTATACGTTAGTGTATCAGGAGGGGTAGGATTAGGATATCCATCCGCACCATACATGTTACACATAAGTGTATGAGGAGGGGTAGGATTAGGATATCCATCCGCACCATACATGTTATATGTTAGTGTATGAGGAGGGGTAGGATTAGGATATCCATCCGCACCAAAGACCTCCTTGACACTCCTTTGGTAGCTAATGAGTTGTATTTGGCTATACTTTATTTTGGGTAAATTTTCAATGCCTTTCTTATTTAACAGGTATTGCAACATTTATTGCAAAAAATTCAAATATTGAGTGATTTTTTTCCAATATCATGCAGCTCTAATGTTAAATAATCCTCATTTCTTATCTATTTAAAACCGTCCCCTTTCAGACAGCTGGGCACTAGAGCAGTTCAGGTTAAGCAGCTGACTAAAGGTAAACAGGCTGGGCTTCTCCCAGGACTTGGGCTGGAAAACTTCAGGTTACAGGTCCTTGTCTTACCCACCCTGCTAAGGATCGCCCCTCTTAGCAGGGTTACTGCATAGAGGAGTAAGCAGGGGATTCAGGTGGGAATCGAGCTCTGATTTAAAGGTATTTTAAAATCTGAGGTGCTGAGAGTAACAAAATCACCTAAAGTCTGTACAGTAATGAAGTAAAAATGAGCAGCATGTGCTAAAACACTGAATTATGTTTGGCATCTTCAATGAAGCACCACAGTGTGTTTAATATTTTACCAGGAGCTGCTGCTTTATCCTGCTTTACTTTAATGATTCATATCCATTAATTACATTTAAACTTACCTGTTAGGACACCAACCATAATGATGGGAAATGCAGTTCTCAGAGTGAGGACTATAATATTCTGCCGTGTAACTGCAAAATGAAAGCAAGAGTTTCTTTTAAAATAAAATAAAAATGGCATAATTTAATATATGTTGCATTCAGCCCATCACACATCACACCAGCTACCTCTAATTATAGGAGAAATATGTAGCAATGTCAGACCATTAATGACCATTCATTCTATAAGGACAAATTAAACTAAAATTCATTATATCTGATCATGAGCTGTTAGATGATCATTTCACACACATTAGTACCAGAAGATCCTTATTCAAAGTAAAAGCCTCCGTGACCCCACATTATAGTATAAGAGCTGGACAGTGCACTGTTACAACCCTGATACCAACAGTAACTGGGCTGCAGGAGAACCAGCAATCATATAGAAACCTCAAGGAAAATGGACAAACATTTACTCTATTCCATTCCTGAGCTGAAGGCTTCAGCAATGGCCTCCAATGATACTGCCCCTCACACGCTCTGCATCTGGGTAGCTGATAGTTGTTGAATAGCCCAGCATACCTGTCCATCTTCTTTTTCAATGCCTCTTCCAAAAGAGATCTTCCCAGGGGACTGTCAGCTATAACAGCACTACTTGCTAGCTGGATTCAGACAGGAGAACAACATCTCCCAACATTTCAAAGTAGTTGTAGCAATGCAATTGGAGAATTTCAGTTTCCACTCCAAGAGCTGCCAGTCCCTTGCTGAGACCAGGACCTCTGCTTACATTCTTGTGGCAGATTCTAGTTACTTCCAGGCTCTGATGATGATGATCGCCAGCCTGGAGGGGCAGGAAGGTTTAGCCCATTCCACTCATGAGCTGATGCCTTCAGAAATGGTCTTTAGGTCATTCCTACAATGATACTGCCCCTCACTCAGTGCCTTTTGGCAACACATTCAAGCACAGAGGACAGACTGTTGTCTCTGCCTTGCCCCACCTGTAGATTGGATGGGCTGGGAAGCATCATAAACAGCCTGGTGTGTGGTTCAGTTTCCCAAGTTCAGCCCAGATCACCTTCCTCTCTACTGCATTTACCCATCTTGACTAAGCACCCAGTTGCCTCATTCACTTCACCTGGCATGATCACTCCTGATCCACTGCTGCTCTCATGTCTGCGTGGGTCATGAAATTATCCTCCTTCCCACCATAATCTTGGATGCAGCCTTCACTCGGCTTGCAGAACAGTTTCCTTCGCCCTCCACTTCCTACCAGTCCTCACCATTATGCCAGCTCTGGCCACCTCCAGATTGCTTGACCCTCTGTACTGCAACACTTTCCTGTGACCTTGAACTCCTCCTACAAGGACTTGAGTGTCAATCCCAGGTTGTTTGATGACCATAGAGAGCCATGCTGCCCAGGCTCCTTGGGAACCCTGGCCATTTCCGGAGGTGGCTGCTGAATTTCCTCTCCAAGGTCTCTACTGTTGAGATTGGCACTTCGTAAACCAGGAGTGGCCACAGGACCCTTGAAGGAATACCATGCTGGTACAGCCATGCTTCAGATTTCCCTGGAAAGCCATACCGGTCCACTGATCTCAACCAGCCACTCAGTGCAAGGCGACTTCATGGCTGTTGTGTCCTTCAGGGTGCTGTCAAACACTTTGCCTGCTTAGGTGAGGAACATGGTACCCTGCCAATTCAGGCCTTGTTGATGAGCTTCAGACTGGAAACAATATTCAAAGTATTGTAGTGGTGTTTTAATTTCATCTGAGGGATCAAATGTGGAATCTGGCACATGCATTGACTCCATGTCTTGCTTTTTTCATGGTGACCTATGATGCGATTTGTATGTATCTTCTGCCTCTGTCATATTGCCTGTTTGTAGAGAGTTTTTACCTTAGATATTTTCTTTTTTTTTATGGTGGTGATAGTTCAACATCTTGGTCTCGAACAGAGGTGGGCAATCTTATCCAAATAGGGCTGCTGTGTATGTGGGTCTTCCCTAATTAGGGTACTAATTAGAGGACTGATTGGCTAAAGAGTTGTCACACCTGGGTTTGAACAGCTGACCTAAAGGTTATCCTAAATTCCTGCATACACACTGGCCCTTTGTGGATAAGATTGGCTACCCCTGGTCTTCAACCCCATCAGCAACTCTCCACTGGGAATACTGGCCATTCTTCAGATGACTCAGAGTAACTTTCACAGGTGCAGAAAGAGTTTAGGGCACTTCTTGTACACTTTGCATGGGTGCCACTCCGATCTAGAGCTGAGTTTGCTCTCCTGACTACCTCAGGAACCTCTTTCAGCTGCAGGTTTGATGTGTCAAACTGCATAGCTGCCTCGGCCGGCTGTATCACTGTGCTGCACTCTCCTAATCTCTCAACTCCTGATCTCTTGCTGGGTTGCTATACATCTGCTTCAGATGGTGGTCTGTCTTTCTTCTGTGAACAGGCCAACTTGCTGCTATGCTTCTGCCTTAACAGTTCCTTTATAAACCTGAAGGGCTTGGTGATGAATGCAGTGCTTTCAGGCTCTTTCATGGTGTTGTCTCCGATGCCACTCTGCCCAGCGGAGGACCCTGGTATTCTTGTTTAGGATGTACATCAGCTGAGCCAATCCTCTTCTTTTGCCTGTTTGTATTGGGACCTGAAGGTTTTCATCTCCTGCCGGATACTATGGATCTTCACTGCTCTTTTTGGTTTTTTACATATGGTCCTTTGGAAGCTCTCAGCTTCTCCTCTCCAAACCGCTCTGACACAATGCTGACAATGATCTCTGTCATGGTCAAACTAATTCTAAAAACCTGTCATTATTTTACAGTTTTTCTTTTTTTCCAGTGACAACCTCCTTTAAAATTAAGTGTATGAAACAGAATAGGAAACATGAAATATGTAAACATACCTGTGAATAAATTCCGATATGGAGTCATATTAAACAGCACCAGGATATACAGCAGACTGATGGTAGTACAAGTAACAGCCTCTTCTGTGGATCCTGGAAAAGTTAATAACAATTAATTTAACAGACCATTTTATTCAAAGCAACTACCAGTGAAACGTTTTTGTATGTAACATTACATCCTATTATCTGGTTGAGTGGTGATGGCATAATCAAATTCTAGGCTCTCTTTTAACTTGAAATGCACTAGTTAACGGTTTCATCCCATGAAACAGTGCAGTGTTTAATGTCCTTGTACAAAGAATGCCTCGAATTTTCTCTGCTATTAAAACTACTAGAGGAGGTTACTTTGAGGAATATTCAATAAAGATATTGCTAAAAAATATTGCTAATAAAGGTACTCAATTGGTGAACATACTGTAAAGAACATTGATTGAATTTTTGGTAAATGTTAAGTGAGTAATGTGGAAATGTAGAAAATCTCAGTATGTGCAAAAACTTTTGACTGATAGTGTACATTTTTTTAGGAAAAGCAGAATTGGGCAATATCTGGGGCAATTGGGGTTTAAGGTCCTTGCTCAGAGGTCCATGTGTAAAATTACTCGGTTGAGTCTGAGATTTGACTGATTTGACAGCACTAGGATCCCTGTTTTTCCTGTTTAAATTACTAACTCACAACTTCCTTCCTTCTACTCTGCTGAACTTTACATTGGATTTCATGTTACCTGTCACTTCATTACTGACTGCTAACATCTAAAATTGTGCAATTTGTCACTGGGGGCACTGACTCTGCTGTTGTGAATTATATGTTTATTTCATCACAGTGTTTTTAATGATCTCTCTGTTCTTGTAAGTGATGCAGAAAAGCAGATGCTCTTTCTGAACAAACATAAAATAAAACCTGCATGACCTGCATAGGGCTGTTGTGATAACTGCAATATTGCAATATCACGATATTGACAAGTCATCTGCACAGGACAGCAAGCAACCACCAACACCACATCTTCACATTTTTTCTTTTTTCATGAAGGCATCTTGTTTACACTTAAGTGCGTGTGAAATTAGATATATGTGTAATTTATCCTGCCACCTCTATGCACCGGGTGCTGCTGAGGTTCAGTCTCCACGCAACCTGTACTTACTACACAGGGACCACCGGTGGCCCTGTAAATTGGTCATAAGATGTAAAAAAATATCATAAAACATTGTTAGTTTGAAGTAACAAAAATGATTCAATTATAAAAATATAAAAGTTTCTATCATTCTTAAGTTATGTTCTGATCATAAAGCCCTGAAAAGCTGCAGTTTTGACTGACTGACAAGTGTTTTTAGTCAACCACCTCCCAAATATGCAACAAAAAACTTGACTAATAAGCTGTTAGTCACATCTTTGGGAGGCAGTTGGATAAAAACACTTACCAATCATATAAGAAATTATAGGAAAATAGGAAATAATCTGTAGGCCAGACCGTCCCATCTGACAAAGCTTTCTGTTCGACTTTCAAAGAATGCAGCCTACAAAGGATACGCCTACGTAAACAATTGGCATTATGATCAGAAAATAACTTAAGAATGATAGAAACTTTTATATTTTTATTATTCATTAATTTTCAAACTTTTCTTTATTATTTTGAAATTATGTTTTATGATGACAATACAATAAAAATGGTGATAATACAGCATATTGTAGTATTGAACCAGCCTAAATCCCTTCACTGCGACAGCCCTACCTACAGCCTTTTTCCATTGTCAATAAAATAATATTCATACCAAACATACCAAACTATAAGCAATTAATTTCATTTATGAATAATAATTATTCACCTTAAAAGTGCATCACCACAGTATAGATTACAAATACAAAGTATTGCAAATGACACGTTGCTGTCCGTACTGCTTCAGTATGTTTCTTCCTGCCTGCACAAGACAAATAATTAATAAAATCTGTCTCTTTTTAAAGCATTCTTCAAACCATATTCAATGGGCTCACCTTCAGTAACACCCCACAGAATGAATGCTGTAGAAACCATGATTGGTGGAACTGTGACATGTGAACAGTGACTCAACAGATCCTGTTTGCTTTTATCTATAGACAGAAAGTAAAACCAAATTTAACTACATGCTCTTTAACATTAGATGATGGTTCATGCAAAGTTTAATGATCTACAGAGATCCTCAGATGGTCATTCTGCTGCATGCTCACCTACAGACACCCAGTACAGACTGTCAGTCTCACTAGATGCAGCTCCTGCATTATTTTTAGTAAAATTTCAATGAGGACATCAGCTTTGGTTCATTGTTTTGGTTTGCAGGCATTTACAGTGATAAAACTTTCTGAAATAATTCATTTTCACACATATGTGTTTGTTACCAGAGGCACAGGATCAAAGTATGTTAATTACATCAGTTATTAAGCCCTGCAATGGACAGGCACCCTGTGTAGATACAGTCCTGCCTGATGCCCCATGTCTGCTGAGATGCCCTCTACAAGATAAGTGGTTACAAACATGGATCCACTGATGTCATCAAAATTACTAGAAATGACAGAGCAGATGCTACACTTACCTTCCCTTAAATTCCTGACAGATAAAGCACCAGTAAGTAGGACTACAGGTGTGACAGCAATGCACAGCCCCAGAATCAGCCAATGCAGGGATGAGTAACCTAAAAAATGCATAATTACATTCCATTAATCATTTTCTAAAACAGAAAAACTACATTCATTCATTCAAAGCATTTTCTGGCTTTCAAGGTGGCCATATACTATACATATAGACATCAGGACAAAACGAAATTGAACACGTTCACGCAAATATCCATCCATTTACTTCCGCTTATCCGAGGTCGGGTCGCGGGGGCAGCAGTCTCAGCAGGGAAACCCAGACTTCCCTCTCCCCGGCCACTTCCTCCAGCTCCTCTGGGGG